TATATATATACATATATGGGGTATATATACATATATATGTGGATATATGAATATATAAGAGAGAAAGAGAGGAATTTTGTAAGCTCCATCGCGGTTATCATGAAGGTATAGGTGTCTTCTAGGCATTATCCTTTGTGTAGATACAATGGATGTCATTGTCCATAGTGTAGATATTGAAACGACTCCGTGTTATTCTGTCCATTGTTAACTCATATTTTCCTCATTGCATTAATTTCAGTTGCAAGATCTGATCACTCTGTTTGTTAGATGCTGTAGAAATTTTATTTGAACATAGCTTTGATTTCGGTAATCCGAAAGGGGGAATGAGTAAATGTAAAAGAAAAGGACGTTATTGGCTGCACTAAAGGTGGACGTTGATCATTGTGGAATGATACTTATCATCAGATAAGTTTACGAGGATGTAATCCAGATTACAGTCTGTGATGGAATGCTTCTACGATTGCAACCTTTAAAAGGAGATCAACAGAATTGGTCGGTCTCTCAAATGTATTACTTTCGTTGTTATCGTGATATAATATACGTCAAGCTTTTAGTTTTATCATTCCTTACATGGAGGACACTATTGGTATGAGGTAAGTCAGTGTGTTTGATAACATTATCTTACTAATAATACTAATAGTTATATACTTAAAATCAATTAATTATATGTTATATTAAGTATATCATTATGTCAATTAATTATATATTATATTAATCAATTACATATTATATTAAATTATATTAAGTTATATACTTAAAATCAATTAGTAATTAACTTTTTTTTAATCTAATATAATTTAATTTGAAATGCTTCGAGATCAACGTATCATTTCCTTCCACATCTTATTATTATTCAGCGAAGAATACAGTTCCTATTCTGCCATCAATATTTCTGTCATTGGTGATGTTTGCTTACTGTCAAAGATAATTTAATAAATTTGATTAAAGAACTAAGTCTAATTGGAATATTACAACATAATTATTCATTTCGTTTTTTAAAAACCCTTTTGACTTTCAAAAATTGGTGAAAAGGCAACAAAATATGAATATTAACAAAAATAATACTGTGAAAATGCAGAAATTGTGAAAGTATAAAACAAAATAAAATGTAATAAAAGTGCGGAAAAATGATATTATGAAGTGATAATTTTTTTCACATTTGCTCATTCACACATTTGTTCATTTGTTTGAACAAATTTTATTTATTCAAATTCGATCCACACATTTGTTCAAATAATTATGAAAAAGATTTGAATATTTCATTCATGAATCCAGTGAAAAATTAATCACTGAGCAATCCAGTGATTAGTTTTTGTTTGTAATTTCAAGCATAAATGATTCCTTTTCAAATAATTGAAAATGATCTAAATATATTGAAAAAAAAGCGAAGAGAAATGCTTCAAAATATTTAACTTTCCTTTTTTGCCGTACCAAAAACATTCGGATCAATTCCACTCAATTCCGCGGTATAATTTAGCAAGAAGGTATGCTCGGTGGAGCGGTACAATTGAGCAAGGAGATATAGTTGATCCTGTTGTGAAAGTTTGAATTGTCTGAGTTGAATAGTTTCAGCAACAATATATTTGATATTTATTTGTGTAGGAGAGTAACCAAAGAACTTTTTATTGACAGGATAATATGCAGATCTCTTTAAACAATAATATCGACCAAGCCAATAGACTTGACTTTAAATTTG